AAAAATAGCACTCAAAACACAATGAGCACCAAAAAAAATCTAGCAAAACCTGTGATCCAATGTATTTCATATGAGCCTCTTCTTGAAATCTTATTTGAACTTATAAAATTGCGCAAAAGAGCCAACAGACAGACAAAAATAAGAAAAGACAGGTGGAAAAAAAAAACTAAAATTTTTTCTTGCTCCCAAAAAAGCGCTTCATTCAAAAAATGAACCCCTTCTTAATAAAACCTTCCAAACGACGTCAATTACATATCGAAAAATAACCCAAACTTCAGAACATTAATTTAAAAATAAAAATTTAATGTCTAAAATCAAGCACAGTAATATTAAGAGAAAAAAAGAGTAATAAACAGTAATAGTAAAAAAAAACGCGCAAACAACTGGAGCGGCCAAAATCCACTTGAAAATAACCATTGAACAAAAGCTACAGTATGATTCTTCCCACAGTACCGTATTAGAACACTTCTCTTATCAAAGAAGAGAACTATGTAAGAATTTTGAGCCATCCATCCAAATACTTGGAGAATAATTACGTCAATGGCCACTCAGTGACGCGACACCGTAGAAACCAGTGGTAAAAGGAATTGAGAAGAAAAATTAAGTACACATTCCTAACGAAACTGTTCCAAACAGCGCGGAAAAGTTGCCAAATGGTTAACCCAGTCGAAAAAACCAAAAAAAAAAAAATAAAAATAAGTGTACAAACAAAAAATAAGGAAATAAAAATACAATGTACAGCAATCAGAAAAATCAAAGAGAGATGAGTAATAAGAATCAATAAGAAGCCAAAATAAAAAGCACGAGAAATCCTTAAGGATAACAATGTACAACTATAATCAAAGCAAAATGAAATAAACATACATTAATACGTGCTTCCAGTTCATAAACTGGCAAACGACGTCCGTAACATAGCAGCTGCCTAAAATTGATACATTAAATAAGCAATAAAAAGAGTAATGGTTGACCAAAAACAAATTTTTTAACAGAAACAAATCAAAAACCAATAAAGCAAAATATGCCATAAAATACTTCCTATTATCAAAGATCAAAAAAAAAAACTATAGCAACCACTTAACGCTCACTTGTCTTGCTGGGAGATCATTAGTTAGACTTAAAACAGGCAATCAAATATAACCTACTGCTAGTATGTGTAACACTTTTAAAGATTTTCATGATTTCTTTTTCCTTATTATCTTTGAGTTTTTGCAAAAAATAAAAAAAACTGATCAACACGCAAAAATCTAAAGATTCTAGATGGAGCACTGATAGCGACGATAATGCCTCAGAAAAACGAAAAAAATATTGCAGAGGAAGAGAAAATAATTTGAAAAAAAATTAAAGCAGCTGCAAATGCCTAAGAACTGTAATTTTCAGAAAAAAAAAGATGATATTTCCGATCCTGGCAACGTCTTCCAGCATCTTCAAACCTATTTTTGACCGTCAAAATGCAGTCAAAAATACCTAATTTCTTACTCAGTTTTTTTCCTCAACTACCTTAACCAACTGTTTTTGATGCAAAGATATAACTGTAAGTTTTCTATTTCTAAGTGATTTGAGTTGTTTAGTAAGAAAGTAGAAGCATAAGCACAAAAAAAAAAAACAGAAAGAAAAACAAAAAGCAAAAAAAATAATTTTAAAACGATATGCATATACATAACTGAAAAAAGCATCTGAAAATTCCCATCATTGTCAACTTCCAAACGACTTAAAATTAAATAACTTGCGATTTTTCCCTCTTTATTTTTTAAAAGCCAAATGCACACCTTTTTTTTTCTTTTATCTATCCCTCAGGTCTCAATTTCAAAATCTTTCCTTAAATGCATTAAAACCCTTTCATCTCTGTCCTTCGACAGCAGAAAATCACCGAAAAAATGAGGAAAAAATTTATAGTTCCAAGCACAAAATCTTCATTTGTTCGCCCAATTACTTATAAAATTCATCTTCTTAAGAATTTATTCATCCACTCCGCCAGTCGCTCAACAGCTCGCTTCTTCCCCTCCTAGAATTCTTATCAATCAAAATGACAAAAACTTGTGGCAGCCAAGTACCATAGCCCGGTATTAAGTCAACTTTCACGGCAAAAAAGATCACGCTGAAATAACTAAAAACTTTCATCGTGGTCTCTGCTCGCTTCTCTGGCAACCATCCTCCACTCTCATCTCTCTCCGTCTCCTCATTTCCTCAAGTGCAGAGGAACACTTTGAGTGGAGCGGCAAAAAAAAAGATCGCATACAAGCACATACATTATATACCTATACTCCAATTTAATCATGTAATTGTCACCTCTTGAATCACGAGTGCAAAAAAAAAAAAGCTGTCAAAACCAATAAAAGCATGTGAGCAATTTTCGGAACCCATAATTTCCGAAAACAAGACAACACAACACATCTTTTGGTAAACAGAAGCTAAATAAAAAAAACTAGACCAAAAAATTGAAAGTCAAGCACCATCTCCCCATGTAACACAAGCAACATCCAAGCAGTGAAGTCGGGAAACCAAAAATTTAAAATTAGCTTGTTTTTTTTTCTTTTTTTTTCCCATTAAGTAATAATACAAAAAATAGCTGCCTGGTTCACTAACTAGATTCACAACGAACTTTGTTGAGGCGATGACATAATAAAAGAAATAAGAATTAGAGAGGACGAAAATAAATACCGACTGACAATTAAGAAGTATATAATATCAGTACACGGTAAAAATCGAAAGCCATATAGTGGATCCTTAAACAAATTTGTTTTGTTTCACTTATTTACTACTGCTTTCCCCGCTGTCAAAAAAATAAAAAATATAATGCATAATACCAGTTGTGCTCAAATAGAATACCCAGAACAAAAGCTTATTTCTGCACTTATTGTCACTCTCTTCTTACTAACTTCAGTTTCAATTCGTTCCCTTCTCTCTTCGCCACCAAACTCTCGTCTTCATCCCCTCCTCTTCCTGCTCAATTTTTCCTGTTGAATTAAAGACGAAGAAGGCTTCATGTATGATTAAAAATCACTGCTCAATGCATGTATCTCGCTCTTGCTGCCTACTTAAGCGTATTCAGCAGTTCTTACAGAAAGAACTAAACAGACGACACTAAAAGTGACGCGTCGATTATTCACAATTATTAAAATCTAGATTAACTGCTACCAACTCTGAGAGACACTTCTTTACTTTTTGTTTTCTTTTGCTTCTTGCCCTCTCTTGGCTACATTCTTTCTGCATCCTTCCAGATTTCGAAAGTATAGTAAAGTGTATAAAGAAAAAAAAAACAACGACACAATCGATAACTAGGAGAAATTTTTTCCCCAAACGCACTAAAAGCATCGACTTTGATTTGAACAAACGAAAAAAACATTATCCGACCAGAAAATAAAATTTTTAAATAACACTGATCCCGATGAAGCAGAAGTAGAAGAAAAACATGGACATACATCATCTTCATTTTTCCTGTCTGTTTTGTTTGTCTGTGATTGTTGTGTTTACTGCAGAAACTCTTGTTCAGCAACAACCTTTGGTGAAATAGAAACAACCAGCAACAATCAACAACGGCATCATCATCCTTATCGCTATCAACACAAACAACAACCATAACATTTTGAATCACGGTGGTCGAAAAATCAACTAAACTAACATTTTCGAATAAAATTTTGTTTTCCAAGCAAGTACAATGCAAATTTTTAAAAACTTTTTCCCTTCTTCATTTTGCACTTCTTTGGTGGCTTGTGAATTCATGATTCAATTTTCAAGTGTCACAAAATGCATAAATAGAAAATTAAAGGCTTCTGCTATTAACACTGCCGCTGCTAACCTCGAACGCCGCAAATGTTTGCAATAAACCAAAACAAAAAGAATAAAATAATCTAAAACCCCAAAAAAGCCCTCTCAGAAGCGAAAGTGAAATGATAAGAATATGTGCGAAAAAGAGACAC